TGTGGAATTGGAAGGGACTGGCAAGGATCATCTAGTCCAACCCTGCACATCTGGTCCTGCCACATGCAGGAAGACCAGTTAACGCATCCTGGAGAGGAAGTTCTCCAGCCTCTTCCTCAAAATCTCCAGGGGTGGGGAGCCCACCTCCTCCACAGAGAGACTCTTCCGTTATTGGGCAGATCCCATCACTAGGAAGCTTTTCCGTATGTTTAAATGAAATCTCGGTAGCTCGTCGTCTGCCAGTTGTTTCTGGTCCTCGGTCCTGGAGCTGCTGACCAACTTCTCTGGGGCTCCCTCTTATGGCCCTGAGCACGGCGGTCACGTCTCCCCTCTGCGTCATCTTTCTTGCCCTCCTTTGAACCCTCTCCAACCTCTCTCTGTCCTTCTGGAAATGGGGTGCCCAGTCTCGTGCCCAGTGCTCCAGATGTGACCTCCCCAGTTCCTCACAACTGCAACTGTTGCTCTTTGTAGAGCAAAAGAGCACCCTTGTGCATGGGTGTAGGCCCAGCAAATGGTCATATTTTTCTTTTCAGGTTTAGGGATACTTACAGCTGGTTTTTTCCTAATGATCAGGAGGAGTAGAAAGAGTCGAAGCCTTAACATCTGGAGAATTATCTCATCCCATGAGTCTCCTGAGATGGAAGGCAGGCGCTGCGGATGTTGGAGAAACCATGGCCAGTGAACAGTTGGGCAACCATTGATGCCGCTGTGGAAAAAAAATGCTTCTCCCACCTGCCCCCAGAGTCTCCTGCATTTTTCTCATGAGTCCTCTTGACCTTATTTGGTTTCTTCCTGACAATGGCAGCTTTGGAACCATTTTTGGAAGCTGGTGGTCCATCTCTCTTGCCAATTTATCCTCGCTCACATTTTTCCACACATCACATGAATGATGTGGCTGAGGGTTCTCCCGCTTTCTGAATCCCTGATGTTTAGACAGCCAACAATAGATTGAAATGTGTTCGTGCGTCCTAAGATGTACACGTTCTTGCTTAGTGAAACCCTTTAGGGAGATTGGCTTTGTTCAGGCGCCCTGCAATGTGGCCTCCGTGTGCTCTTCCAAATACCCCTGGTGGGCCGTGGTTTGGGGTCCCTTGGAAGGAGGAGCTTCTTCTGGACGATGGGAAGGCCTGACCGGGCGGCTGTTTCTGTGTGACTGTCATCCTGACAGCCCATCGTTTTCCTTTCCATTAGGGTTTAGGCCAGTGAAGTAATGGAGAGGCGCTGAGGCTTGAACGTGTCTGCTGCTGTTGCTGCTGCTGCTGCTTGTCATCCTCCTGTCGGATTGGCGCGGGGCCAGCACTGATGAATGTCAGATGCCCTGCATTAGGAGCCAGAGAGGACCCCCCTGCCCGCCCCCCCACCCCACCCCCCGATCCTCCCCAGTCGGAGATGATTTGCAAGGGAAGGGGCCTTTCCACACGCAGGCGCCGAGAGCTGCCGCTAGGAACATCTTCCTCCTGCCATCCCTGGCTCCCCCTCCCCGGAGCTTGTCTCTACCGCAGGCTTGTCCTTGCCCCCTTTCAAAGCAGTTTGATTTTTTAAAAAATCCTTAAAACAAATTTGATAATCTGCACATCCAGCTGACATGTCAAAAACATCAGAACGACGTTTTAAAAACTGAGTAGTCGTAGGCGTGGGCACGTGAAGCGGATTGCAGCAAGGTGATGTTGCTATGGGTCTGACTGGGAGAGCTCCTCCCTCCCCCCCCCTTTTCTTCTTTTTGTGCCTTCAGATCAGTTTTGGTTCCTAGTAGCAAGTCACGGCAGTTCTTTAGGCGACGTTTGTGGAAGTGCCTGAGGGAGAAGGAGTGGCCCAAAGTCGCCCCTCTGGCTTCTGTGCCCAAGGCAGGATTAGAACTCAGGCCTCTCTGCCCCTAGTTCAGCTCCTTAACCACTAGAGCAAACCTGCTGCCCCCTAATGTATTAGGACCACAGATCCCAGAATTAACGATGCAAGAAGGCAGTGTCAGATTGATCCTGCCCCTGCGAAGGAACGTGCAGAGGTTAACAACTCTGGTTCATGGGTCTTTGTTCTATCTGCCCCTTTCCTAGCAGAGAATGCCTCCAGAAAGATTAAGGATTTATAGAGACACCCAACTGATAGAAATGCGACTCCAGCTAGGGTGTCGCCATAAACAGAAGATTACAATATTCCCAGCAACCACAAAAACAAGAGTAAAACCAACAAAGATGGCCAACGCACAGTTGGGACATTCCAACATATAGCCCACCTCCCAAGACAGGCTCCTCTGACATCCTAGACCAACCCCTGAAGGTCTTCACAACCTTCTTGGAGACTCACAGAGCCGGGGCCAAGGGAATCTTGGGGTGGGGTGGGGAGGTCATTCCACAGCAGAAAAGAACTGAGATTTTGACTCCTGGGGATTAGGAGATGCTAACTTCTCATGAAGTCCTGAAGCCTGTGTTTCTCCTCAGCTGCTTTGGTTGAAGACCACAATTCTCAGAAGAGTGAGGTTCAGGTCAAGCCCCAAACACCACCCTTATGCATTGTGATTGCAGAAGTGCACCCTTGAATTAGAAGCATTCAGACGATGTGGGTGAGGTTGTGTGTGCAATCATCTTGCCTCCACGACAGTGTTCTCCCAGGATCGGAATACCCTGGTCACCCACTGGGAACCGCTCTGTATTTTGCTGTACTTTCTCCCATCCTTTCTCTTTTTGGAGACAATCAAGGGAGGGGAGGCCTTTGAAGATACTGCTACTTGCTCTCTTGACTAGTTTCTAGCAGCATTTTGTGTTTTGGACTTTTTCTAAATGCACACGTTATAGTTTGGTTCCTGTATGTCTTCTTCTCTGGAGAAAGTCCATGGAAAAGGTTAGGAGGAGATAGTCCTGTCTGGGGCAGTTACCTGGATTTCTACTAAGATGCTACCTAGCTTTCACTCAAGGAAGAACTTCCTGAGGGCAAGGTCTGTATAACTGTGGTTCATTTTTCCTATGGAGATGGTGGGTTTTCCATTTCTGGAGGATTTCAAGAGGCTGGACAGCCACCTCTCAAGGATAGTTTGATGGATTTGCCTGCCCATGGCAGAAGGTTGGACTTGGTGATCCTTGTGGTTCTTTCTAACTTTGCAATTCTGTGATCTTACGAGAGAGTGACTTGCCCAGTGTTGGCTTCTGGAAGACTTTGGCCCCGGCCTAAGGAGGCTAAAGGCAGTGGAGGAGGCTGACTGGAAGCCCAAGAGGAGGCTGGCCTCCAAGGCTCTTGGCACACAAGGCGTGGGTCAGCCGGCCAAGAGTTTCTCAACCCCGGCAACTTTAAGATGGGTGGGCTTCAACTCCCAGAATTCCCCAGCCAGCATGGCTGGCTGGGGAATTCTGGGAGTTGAAA